GGATAGAGGACAGAGGACAGGGATAGAAGATAGCAGAAAGAAGATAGAGGACAGGGATGGAGGACAGGGATAGAGGACAGAGGACTGGGATAGAATATAGCAGAAAGAAGATAGAGGACAGAAGATAGAGGTCATGGACAGAGGACAGGGACAGAAGATAGAGGACATTGAAAGAGGAAAGGGACAGAGGACATTGACCGAGTACAGGGGACAGAAGACATGGACAGACCGCATGGACAAAAGACAGGTGATGTAGATAGAGGACATGGACAGAGGAGTGAGGATAGAGGACATGGACAGGGGAGAGAGAAGTGAGGACAGAGGACAATGGACAAGGAAAGAGGACAGAAGAAAGAGGACATGGAGAGGGGAGAGAAGACATGGATAGAGAACATGGACAGGGGCGGGAGAAGAGAGGACAGAGGACACTGGACAAGGAGATAGGATAGAAGACATAGGACATGGACAGAGTACAGAAGACATGGATAGAGAACATGGACAGGGGTGGGAGAAGAGAGGACAGATGACAATGGACATGGATGGAGGACAGAAGATAGAGGACATGAACAAAGGACAGATGACATGAACAGAGGACAAAGGACATGGATAGTGGTAATGGACAGGGGACGTCTCCTGTCTGCCTCAGTCAGTCTGTTTCTCTCCTGGTTTTTCTCTCTACTGATGGCTGCTCTAACAAAGACATTTCTACGTCATGGTCCCACCTATGGAGTAGCGGGCCTTGAAGCCTTTGTGCGTGACGCTGGTGTCGGTACGGAAGCGCAGCAGCATGGAGGAACCCTTGGAATGTTGGGTGGAGGGTCTGGTGCTGCCACACAGCCGGGAGATCGGGTCCGAGTTCAAAGACGAACCGTCTCTGAGCTCCAGGTAGTCGTAGGAGCAGCTGATGATGAACACAGAACCAAACATCATCAACATAAACAGAACCCTTACCTTACATCAGAACCATCAGTCAACCAGGAACCTGTTCTTAACCAGGAACCTGTTCTCAAACAGGAACCAGTTCAGAACCAGGAACCAGTTCCGAACCAGGAACCTGTTCTGAACCAGGAACCAGTTCAGAACCAGGAACCAGTTCCGACCAGGAACCTGTTCTGAACCAGGAACCAGTTCTGAACCAGGAACCAGTTCCGACCCAGGAACTTGTTCTGAACCAGGAACCAGTTCTGAACAAGAAACCTGGTGACTTTGGCTGAAATCAAACATCTTCTGATGCCACTGAAATAATGACGGTTATTCAGAGGAGGAAGCAGGAAGTGAAAGGGATCCAGAACCTGAGCAGCGGTACCTGGAGGTGGGCTCGATGTAGAAGTCCTCAAAGTCCACCTGGACAGCTTCTCCGTTGGGGACGGTTATGACCCAGATGCAGTCCACGTTTTGAGGGTAGTTCTCTGGGTAGTTGGGTGAGGTGATGTATCCTGGAGGGTCTTCATCCCTGACCACTATGAAGCCTCCACAGGCTGGGGGGAAATTGAATCTGTTATAACTGGAACCAGGCTTTACGCAGAGCAGAACCAGCCCAGAACCAGAACCTTCTGCTGCTCATCTCTCTGTAAGCTCATCTCTATATGTACTCATCTCTAGGTATGCTAACCTGTATGTATGCTATGCTATGCATCCTCACCCGTATGTATGCTAACCCATGCATGCTAACCCACACATCCTCCTCCGTATGAATGCTAACCCATGCATGTTAACCCATGCATGCTAACCCATATGTCTGCTAATCTGTATGCATGCAAACCTGTATGCATGCTTACCTGTATGTATGTCAACACATGTATCCTCACCCATATTTATGCTAACCCATGAAGGCTGACTCATGCATGCTAACATGTATGTATGCTAACTCATTCATCCTCACCCGTATGTATGCTAACCCATGCATGCTAACCCGTATGCATGCTAACCCATATGTATGCTTACCCATATGTATGCTAACCCATGAATGCTAACCCATGCATGCTAACACATGCATGCTAACCCGTATGTATGCTAACCCGTATGTATGCTTACCCGTACGTATGCTAACCCATGAATGCTAACCCATGCATGCTAACCCGTATGTATGCTAACCTGTATTTATGCTTACCCGTATGTATACTAACCCATGCATGCTAACATGTATGAATGCTAACCCATGCATGCTAACCTGTATGTATACTTACCCGTATATATACTAACCCATGCATGCTAACCCGTATGTATGCTAACCCCTATGTATGCTAACCCATGAATGCTAACCCATGCATGCTAACCTGTATGTATACTTACCCGTATATATACTAACCCATGCATGCTAACACATGCATGCTAACCCGTATGTATGCTAACCCATGCATGCTAACCCGTATGTATGCTAACCCATATGTATGCTAACCCATGAATGCTAACCCATGCATGCTAACCTATGCATGCTAACCCGTATGTATGCTAACCCATGCATGCTAACCCGTATGTATGCTAACCC